CTGCCTCCCCCCATCTGCTGCTCAGAAAAGCCCTTCCCGGCTTCGGCTGACGTCTCCTTTCCCTTTCTCCTGCCTCCTCTTCCCTCTGCTCTCCTCCGGCTTGGCCCCGGCTCGGAGGGGAGCGGATCAGAGCGGGCGTGGGGAGGCTCAGAGGAAGATCAATCTCTCAGCTCGGGTGAGCAGTAATCCCGGAGAGCGGCTGCAAGCTGCTCCCCTCGCCGGGGCTCCCTCTAATTCCCGGCAGCCGCAGGAATAGGAGCATTTTTAAAAAGCTGTCAGTGCTTCCTGCCCGAGTTTTGGGGTGCCCCAGGGAGCAGATCCCACCCCACGAGTTCATTCCCTCTGTGTAGAGAGCCGCACTCCTCCCTCGGGTGATCCCAGAGCAGACGCTGGGAAGGGAAGGGATGTTCTCGGAGCATGGATAGCAACAGGGCTGCTCCCCAGGGAGCCCCCATTCCCTGAGGGTGGGCGCCTCACAAAGCTCTGAAGGACAGGAGAAGCAGCTGGGGGAGAGCTTYTCTGCTTCCAGGGGTGTTGGCCATGCTCACATCAGGGAGAAAACTCTGCAAGCGACCCCGCAGCTTCCCCCTCCCCGGCAGAAGGCAAAGGCATCCAGCAGGGATGCAGGGGGTGCCTGGGACAGGGGGTCCCAGAGCCCACGGCAATCAATATCCGRGATCAGAGGCAGGAATTGCCTCTCCAGGGGTTGTGCAGCACCAAACACAGCAGGACCACCCCCCCTCCTCCCCACAGCCTCCACCATTGACAGAAAATCAGGCTTAATCCAAGCTTTGTATTTTTAATTATCTTAAATTTATGCCACAAAGCACGGGGGCCGGGGGCTGTCTATTTGCATGCTCTGAGATATTTATTTGGAAACAATATCATGTTTTCCTTAAAACAAGTTTTATCTCCCCGGCGCGTGCCTGCGTTACGCGCCTGTGTGTTTTGCCTGAGCTCCGGTTTACATTTCCTGATGGATGGATGGGGATTCGGAGCCTTTTTTTTTTTTTTTTTTTTTTTTTTAAGGTGGTGCATAAAATGTATTTATTATTCTTTATCTCCTACCTCTCGCACGGAGTCATTTGTTTTCATTCAGAGAAATGAATACGATGCGAAGCCTGAAGAGTAATAACACAGCGAAATGACAACGGAGGAGCGAGACAGGAATCTGGGAGATACAATGGCAGGTTAGTAACCTCTAAAGATCACTGCTGCTCCGAGTGGTACAGTATTATTTAGTGTCCAGTCTGGCTCGCAGCTCCATTTAATAAAAACATATGAAAATCTCGAGGAGATTCGCTCTGGCGTTTAAAAGCGGGTTGTTCCAATAAACACGGATAATCTGGATATCCCCAGATTACTTCCCGCTATCCGGTGGGGAGGAAGAAATTAATACCAGTTCTTTCTGCTTCTTAAGACAATGGCACGAGTCAATATGTGCCTGTGCTGTTTGGGTTCACCGAGGAGTGAGCGACAAACGAGACTTTATTTATAGGCCTTTTCATGAACTGGGCAGCGGGGGCGGGAAAGGCTTAGGGCTGGAAAACCCAAATGACCTCCCCTGACCTATGAATTGCTGCAGTCAAAGGGCCCAAGGACAAGGAGGGTTCAGGCTCACCCTGYTGTCACCCAGTGGATATTTGTCCCCTCAGGTCACAGGGACAGCAGAGCTCATGGAGAGGTTGAGCATCCCCCACTCTGCCCCGAGGAGAAAAGCCACCAGGCAGCACCAAAGCTGCCACATCATCATCTGGGATGAGACAAAATCATGTTGTCTCCATCCAAACAACCTCAAAATTTCCCTCCTGCTGCCCCAAAAGATCCCCCGTTGTCCCTGAGATCCTGGGTGCCAGCAGCATCCCTAAATCCCTCTATGGTTCATCCCTCACCCATGCATCCTTTCATTTCTTGCTTTGTTACCCGAGCCACACACCAAAATCACTTCCATCAACACCCAAAGTGCAGAAAACACCTATTTTTCCCAGGACATCCACCTGTGCACTTCGAGACTCCAACAACAAAGAGGAGGAGCCAATTTAAAGGAAAAAAAAAAAAAAAAAAAAAAAAAAAAAAAAAAAAAAAAAAAAAAAAAAAAAAAAAAAGAGATAGAGAAGAAAAATCTAAATTAGATTATTTTGGAGTTTTCCATCATTCTTTCCCACCGCCATTTTACAAGTTTGTTAAAGCAGCGCGGTGTTTAAGTTGCTAAAAGCTGTTCCAGCTCGGGGCTGAGCGATCGCAGGCACCGCTCAAACCCAACATCGCAGCGCCACCTGCAGCGGCCGCGCTTGGTGGCAGCTGGAAATCCCTCAAAACGGGCGAATTCCTACAAAAACCAGCCCGGGGAGAGGGCTGATACTGAAAATCTTCTTCCTCCAGGTCTCTTTTTAAACCCCCTCTTCCCTCCCGTCTTTCAGATCTTTCCAGCTCGCCCCTCTCGGCTGATACATGAGAGAAAATTGGCCTCTCCTGGGGAGCTGTCACCATCCCCGCTGCTGACAAAGGATGTCTTTATCGCGCTTCTGGAGGGTGGAAAATTCACTGCGAGCTGGTTTAAAGCTCTGTGTTGTCACTGTGACACCCTGGGAAGGGACAGGGTGGGCTCTGTCCCTAAGGGCACCTCTTGGTCTGTCTGTAGGGGTGTCACACCCTCAGATTTTGGCAGTGCTGGCAGCTTCAGGAAGGGTTGTGTAGACAGAAAATGAGGTAAAAGTGCTTCCCAAAAAAACTGTAGAAGAAGTTCATAGGGAAGAGCAAGATTGTGTCACTTGGTCACCCGACCACTGCCTTTCCCTCCTTTTGTGGCATTTTTGGAAACAATTTCTGGGTCCATCTCAGCCATCCTCTGTTCGTGCTCTGTCCAACATTTCTTTGGAGTGCTGAGGGTTGGCACAGTGGATTCCCTGAGAATGCCCTGGCATGGAGCAGAGAGGTGGCACATCCCTTTCTCCTCTGTCGCTGCTTTGCTGCCCAGCCTCTGGCAATTCCCTTAATTCCCTGTCAGCCTTTGCAGGGATATATTTTTTTGGCAGTTTTTTTAGTAGTGCATTTATTAAATAACATTTTTTTAAAGTTATTGATCATCTCCCTCTTCCCACCCAACCCGCTGTTAAAAAGAGGTGAGGTTTGCCTTTTTTTTTTTTTTTTTTTTTTTTTTTTTTTTTTTTTTTTTTTTTGAGGGAAGTAAAATCTCCTTTCACATTGTCCCAGGATCAAATCCAACAACCCACAGGAGCCACAGGGTCTGACTGTCCCCTCCCTTCCCTGAGCTGCTTCCCATCAGTGTAAGCCCCAGTCTATGTCTGGATTCACACACCAACTCACCAAGTTACAGGAAGTTTTCCAGCCCAAATTTCCCTTCTTTGCTGTAATTTAATTCCCTTTTTCTCCTTTCCCATTCCCTCTCCTCTGTCCCCCTGCTCCAGCTCAGATCTCCCCAGCAAAATTCCACTTCCAGAGAGTCTCTGCCCCTCCCAGCACACCCGGGGAGGAGAGAGATGCTCATTCCCCATCCCAAACCACCCAGAGGGGATTTATGATGTTCTCAGGCYGACAGCATCATCTGCACATCTCCCCATCCCAACTCTCCCGCTGGAAACTCCCCCAGGGACAATTTTTCTCCTTCCCCCTTCAAATATTTGCCGRCCGTTACCGCCTCTGGTCACACCCAGGCTGTCGTTTTTCCAAACAGAACAACGGGAGGATGGACAGGGGAGAGGGGCAGATGGAGCCAGACACGGGGAGATGGGAGCCAGGGGAGCAGTCAGCTCATAATGATAAGGGGAGCATAAAACCCAGTTTTTGGCTTCCCAATTAAACCAGGGGATGCCTGAGAGGGGCCACTTTAAACTGCAGGAGATGAGAGAAAAGGGAATCATGGTGGAAGCAGGCAGGTGGAGTGATAAGTTATGACCCCAGAAAGTCAGGCAAATTCATTGTTTTTTCATTTTGGCGAACAATAATGAGAGCAAGAGCAATTATTCCCTGCTCCAGAGGGCTGGAGAGCACTGGGGGGTGATAAGGAGTGGGATGAGATGGAGAAATGGGTAAAGAGTCAGAGGAGAAGAGTCCAGGGACGTGCAGGAGGATCTGGAGACTGTGGAAGGAGAAAGGGAAATGGCAACGCTGGGGCCACTGGATTCATCTGAGGAGAAGCAGCCCTTAAATCAGAACAAATCCAAAGAGAAAATTTGGAAAATTCCCAGCCTGAAGAGGGGAAGGGCCTAATCCAAAGATGAAGGGGTTTTTTTGGATTTCAGAACCTGGGTCAGGCTTGCAGCTCTGATGCAGCTCCAGTGGGTACCAGGACAGAGAWGAGGAGCCAGGATAGAGCTGCAGGGATTTTCCCAGAAAGATGCAGAATCTCCAATCCTTGCAGTTGGTAACACTCCAGAAAGGTCTTTTGGGAAGTTTGCCTCCCTCAGATGGTGGGAAAAGGACACAAAAAATGCTTTCACAGCCTACCCAATCTCACAGCTAATCGTGGATGTTGCTGGAGGCTAATCCTGAATTCGGGGTATTTATAAARCCTCTTCCCTACTTTGGCATTTCTCTCACTTGGGGAACATCCACCCAGCCACCTACTTCCAAAAACTTCCAGGAATGAGCCYCCTGTTGCCTGTCAAACACAGTTCAAACTGCCCCAAATCAGGAGTGGGCCCTACAGACACCAGGGGCTGAAAGGTTTGTTTGATAGAACACCAAGCTCCAAAAAAACCCAGAAAAATGCACAAACCAAGCCCAACGTGTGTGATTTTTTTTTCTGCAATTCATGCTTTTTAAAGCCAATTGGAGGCAGGGAAGAGGGGGAAGGTTAACCCATCATTTTTAGCATGTGGGGTTGGCAGCACACGGATTTACCCACTCAGGGAACGTGGGAGACGAGGGAGGGGGAGAAGCATAAGCTCATCTTGGGATCTGCGGGAACCCCGGCGAAGAATAGCTATTCTTACATGTCAGCTCCATCACCATGGCATCAGAGAGGAAGAAGGGAGGGAGAAATAACAGAAAACGGGGTGGGAGTGGGGCAGGGAGAGTGAGGAGACAAACAGGGAGGGGAAGAGAGAGAGATTTCCCTGATGGGCAGGGTCACTTGTTGAATAGTTGGTGTTCAGTATCCTGGGCTTGCAGACAGGAAGATGCTGCTGGGCCCTTTGGAAAGCAGCTCTAAATATGTTCCCAAATTCACAAGAGCAGGTCCTGTCTGGAGGGCTGGAGTGGGGCTTGTTCAGTCAGCTCTTCCTAAAAAAGAATACCTTAAAAAAGAAATCATATATATATAAAGTGTCTATCGACAGGCCAGCTCCTTTCTCTGCTTTGTTYCCTGGCAGGACCTGTACAAAACACATGGATTTTCTCCCCTGTTATCCTGTTCTGGGTGGGTTCCTCTGTGGTGAAAACAGACTGTGCCAGAAGAAACCCTCTGCAGACCTTGACCCCTGTGCAGTGCTACAAACTGATGCTGCAGCACCTCAAGGGTAAAAATTCCARCTTTTCTCCTTCTRAATCCATTTTSTTTTTGCCTCCACTCACCTYCATGTATACAAATGTCCAAGCAGATGGAGATAATGGTCTGGGATTCAGCCTCTGACCATCATCTGAGCCACTGTGGGTGTTTGGAGCCACCATCCAATGTCCACATCAGCAAAATCTGGGATAAGAGCCCTCCCCTCCATAGGAAAACTTTTTAACATGTGTTATTCCTATGGATATTCCCATCACCGCTGTTTATTCTGATTCTGGATCATGCTGAGATCTCCCCCTCTCTGCTTTCCCCACTTCCCACCCTCATAGGAAGATCTCCTTAACCCAGGAACAGCAAAAAAAGGCACAGGTGATCTTTCTTTCACCTCAGATTACTCTGGTTATTTTCCACCACTCCCCAAAACCATCATGTGTCCCTTTTGGGAATCTGCTCTTCCCAAATCCCTCCCATTGTTTGGATCATCTGCAACACCTGCACGTCCCCCATCCCTCTTTCCAAACTCTTAAGGTTCAGGGGATATCTGACTGCCCGAATTTCCTCAGTTCTTGGGTCAAAGCCTCGGAATAAAACATAAAAATGAAACATAAAAAATAAAATGATCCACCATCATCTCCTTCAAACTTTGTGCAGCTCCTGGCCCCAATATTTCCATTAAAACCTTTGAATTCAGTCRCTCCACTCCATCCCTTCGAAGCCATTTGACTTCCCACCCAAGAGACTGGGCAGAAACCTCCTCCCCCTTTTTTTCCCCAACACCTCTTGTACAAATCCTCTCCGAGGGAATAAAAACTGCTGGAGGTGTGAGCTGGCCACGCATGTTGTAGCCCTTTATTATCTGGGGACCCCCACTCAAATGTACAGGGAGATAATGTTAATGGAATGATGCATTTGCTCTGATCTGGAGCTGTCTCCGAAAGATAAATGCCGAGGCGAAGCAGAAGCGTTTAATCAAAAAATAAACCACCTCAATATGTTGTGTATTATTATTTTTTTTCTCCTAAAGAAGCAAAGCTTGGTCCTGTCACAGCATGTTATTTTGCCAGCATTATCTCTGTTATTTCTAAATAATTCCATTTAGTGCTGGTGATGGGTAGGAGGGCTGAGATACAAAATCAAATTAATTAGAGTGACCCAACAAACTCGTGTTTGCGTTGCGAGATGCAACATGGCAGCAGATCTCGCTGAGAACAAATTGCATTCAAATTAATTTAAGGAAAAAAATAATTCGGGGCAGATCAGGTTTATTTAGGATCAATTTTAATAAGCTAAAATAAAGCCAAGGCAGTGGGTGATACCATCAGCCAGTCAAAAGCCAGCTTTGATAGAGGTTTATACAGCTGAGTGACAGTTACCATCCCAGCCATTATTGGAAAAGCCAGGGATTTTTTTGGAGTGGACAATTAAAAGAGCACCTCAATTACAGCCGCTGGAGATATGAGTAATGAATAAATTATCCGCTGGGTTTGACCCTCCCTTCCTTCACATCATTTCCAAATAATTAATTTCCTCGCCACATTTTTGAGATGTTGCRTTAAATTCACCTGCAGGGGAGGGGGAGCAGCAGTGAGGAGCCCTTTCACCCCCTTGGCTGGTGACAGAGGGTTTTGGGGGGGTTCCAAAAAAAATCCTGGAGGGATRGATTGTGCAAATATTCTCCTAACATGTCCCTGACCCAGGGCTCCTGCACAGGTCTTTTCCAAWCTTAACRATTCCAGGATTCCATARCAGGAGCAGATCCTGGATCTGTCACTCCTCACGCCCAGAGGGGTGGGGGAGGTTTGTCCCCCTGAATCCCCAGAACAGCAGGAATGGGCTCATGGAGGGCTAAATCATCAGGAGAGCTTCCAGAAGATCAGATGGGCCTGAGCTGGACGAGGTCAAACCTTGAGGAGCCTCTGGTGCTCCTCACCATGGATCCATCCAGGATATTCTTCATCCCCACTCTGCTCCAGTCCAAGGAAAGTTCTAGTACAGGGCTCATTCCTGSAGCACAGCAGAGGAAATTTGAGGAGGATCTTCTCCAGGTCTGGACCAGCAGAGAGAACCCCCAGCCCTGCAGACAGCACAGGAATCATTGGGCAGAGCAGGAGAAAGCCACAGATCAAAATCAGAGAATCACAGAACACTTCATGTTGGGAGGGACCTCAAAAACTCATCCCACCTTCCCCCACACTGGGATATATCAATCCCACAGAATTCCCCATGCCACCCTTGCTGCACCAGAAATGCCATTTTCAGGACACAAGCCCCTGTGTCTTGGGGTGTTCTCCTGCCAGGATATTTTTATAACCCTGATTTAAACATTGTTTTCACTCCTYCCCCATCATCCTTCACCTCAACAGCTGATGGCCAATATTTGGAGGTACCTGTCTTTCACCACTGCAAAATGAGCATGAGATTGCAATCAGAACATGCCAGGCTGTGAGACATTACAGAAATTTAAAGGCCTTTCAGTGATTTATGGCTCTTTAATCAAAGGCCTTTAATATTTAATTGCAAAGCTACAGGAGTTGTCTTTATTTCTGAAAAATCTGTTTTGGGGGAGATTAGGTGACGTGAAACTTGACATATTCTGCACGTCCCAGGACCACAGACCTTGCTGTAGTAGAGGAAGAGAGGGTGGGCAAGAGGAGAGGTAATTACAGTTTTTTCCTTATGGCTTGAGGATGCTGCAGTAATTTAAGGTGATAAATTAACCTCCATTATTCTCAAGGAGCTTGAGAACCCATGAAAAGCTCATCAGAGGATCACACTAACGATGCAACAGGGGAGGAAATGTCCCAGGCAGCARAGACAGGGTGTGGTGACCAAATCCATCCCGCTCCCCATCCCTCCTGTGATGTCCCTGTGGCAGCAGGGAGAGTGTTCTCCAAATTCCTGCTGTGTCTGGGAAGGGAGAGCATTTGGATTTGGGGATTTGGGGCACCCTAGCACCCAGCTGAGACATCACCCCTCTGCAGATACCCCTCAGCTGACTCTCAGGGGCTGTCACACCCTGGATAATTGTTTGAACATTCCCTAAAACGCTGAAAATTATGGGTTTTGCATGCCTTTTTTGTTTTTTGGGAGTTCTTTTGGGGTTTTGTTTGGTTGGTTTTTTTTTGTTTGTTTGGGGTTTTTGGGGGGGATTTTTTTGTTTTGTTTTGGTGTTTTGTTTTGGTGTTTTGTTTTGGTGTTTTGGTGTTTTGTTCTCGTGGTTTTTTTGGTTTGGGGTTGATTTGTTTGTATGTTTTGGGTTTTTTTTGTGTGTGTGTATGTACTTTTAGTTGTTTTTTTTCTCCCCCTGCTGAGCATCGAGGGAGGTTTGGAGGTGAACATCTTAAATATAAACATCTCCAGCTCAATGAGATGAATCCTACCCTGTGACCGGTGCAGCAGAAGAAAAACGACACCGTGAGCTCCTTGCTGGGACAGTTCCTGCTCAGTGAACATTTTCTGGTGCCTAAAGAGCAGAAAAGCAGTGGAGGAAAAGCAGTGGATCTCTCCCCACACTCTGGGCAGGTTGGTCCATGAACTCTGGTCCCCCACAGTCAGCAGCTGAAAAACTGCTTCCACCCCTGCCAAAACAGCCTGGGAAGAAATCACATTATTTTTCCTGACAATTTTTATTCTATGCCTGAAATAAAAGCGATTGCCAGTTGAATCTCATTTGCATGCTGTGTGCTGGAGGTGGATCTGGGCATCGGGAGGGCTCAGCTTTGCCCTGGCAGCCTGGTGACCTTCAGATGGGAGAGCACCCCTCCTTCCACTGCTCCTCCTCTTGAATTTGGGCTTTTTTTCGAGCTGTTTGCCCTCCAGGGCTGCCTCTCATTATGTATGTGGGTGAGATGTGATCTTGCTCATGGCCTCTGCAGCTCCTCCAGTACAAATAATAATTTCCATCCCATCTATTCTTTTGTTTGCCACTGATCTATATTAAACAGTTGGTGATGACTACATTTATGGGTGATTATTGCACTTATGCTGTGTTAAATCTGAGTGTTTGTTTATCTTTATGTGGTCTCTGTGTATACGCTTTGCACGGCTTTTAACTTTATGTATTGCAGAGCTCCTTAATTATGAAATCAATAAATTTTTTAAACTTACGACTCCTGCACAGAGAGAAACCCACGCAGAGTTCGTGGCTGGGTGTGACAATGGCTCTTGCCTTGAGCTGGTGGCAAAGCACAAACCTCAGCTGCAGGAATTGACAGATTTTTTTCAGTTTGTTTGGGTTTTTTCTTTTTTCCTGTCCTAGTAGTAATTAGGTTTTTGTTAGCTTGGGTCATCCTCCAGCTCTCATCAAAGCCTCCTTCGAGCTCTCAGGCCCAATCTCATCTCCCTGGGGKTTTTTGGTTTTGATGAAAGAAGTGRCCAGTGAAGGTCACTGCCCAGTGGTGACCTTGAGTCAAGGTTTGGAGGGGAGGGTTCAGTCCCCAGCTCTTCCAGGGATGTTTTGTGAGTCCCATCTACACCACGGGGAAATTCTGGATGGAGCTGGAGCTGAATTGGCTCCTCCACAACCTCAGTTCACTGCCAGGATTGATTCCATCCCTGAGCATCTCCAGATCCCACCCCAATCTCCCCTTTTCCACTCTGATCCATTCCCTGTGTCCTGTCCCTGCAGCCCTTGGCCCCAGTCCCTCTCCAGCTCTYCTGGAGCCCCTGGAATGTTCTGGAAGCTCTCCCTGGATCCTTCCCTTCTCCAGGGGAACATTCCCAGCTCTCCCAGCTGGCTCCAGAGCAGCTCTAGGGGCTCCTCTGGATTTTTCTCCAGCAGCTCCAGCTCCTCGTGCTGCTGGACTGGGGGCAGCTCTGCAGGTGGGGGCTCACCTGGAGGGGCAGAATTCCCAATTCCTGCTGCCCACGAGGGGGGATCAGCCCAGGGCAGGGGGTGTTTGGGGCTGCAGGAGCACATGGCCAGGCCATGCTGAGCTGAGTGAAGGAACTGAGTGGAGCTGAGCATCAAAACCACCCCTCCTTCGATCATTCTGGGKACACAGAGCACCGATCTGCTCCATTTAAACTCTGCTCTTGCTCCCACTTCGCCCTGGCCATGCCTCAGTTTCCCCTGTAGAGTTACAATAACGTTACAACCACCAACATTTCTCCAACTCCACGAGTCCTGAAGCTCCTCCAGCCAATTAAAACCCGTAAGCTGATGAACCCATCAGCTCCCATCACCCAGCACTCATTGCCCGTGGCTGCTGAGAGCCTCCCAGGGCTGTAGGTACCCATACAAACCCCAGCTGATCAGCCACCAGCACTACAGAATTGTGCTCAGGTGCTGACCCCAATTTCTCTTATTTCAGGCTGAATTTCTCAAGCTCAGATCAGCTCTTTCTTTGCCACTTCCATCTAATTAGGATTCATGTCCGCAACGAGCAGCTGTAATTAAACCAAACCAGGGAGACTGGGGGAGGAGTTCACTCTGGTGGCAATTTTGGGGACAGCTGGAGGGCAGAGGTTCAGTGGGGAATGGCCACCAGAACCTTCACAAAGTGTCCTGTTAACTGTCCCTAAAAATGAGATATTTACCCCAGTATAGATGTATCTTCTGTCAGAACAGGTGAATTTGGCAGAATTTAGTTAATAAATGCAAAATTTTGTTTGAGCACGTGCAAATCTGAGCTCAACCTGGGCAATTTAAATCTTTGAAGTCAAAGATCTGAACGATCTTAAAAAAATCTTAGTTTTGAAGATCCCACCTTGCCACATTTCAGTGCCTCACACGTCTTCACTCCCATTAATTCTACCCACAGAAATATCAGCATGTGGTAAATCTCGTGCAGGCTYGCCTGAAATTAGGCAGGTGATTCACAAAATTGGCAAAAGAGGAAAAAGAACAACCCAACTTAGCTGAATTTTTTCCAGAATCGGTACAACAGCATCACTCTACCCAGCACCAACTCAGAGTTTTTCATGCTGAAGCAGGAACAGTGAGAGGTTATAATTTTGACACTTGGACAAGAGGAAGAATCCTAAAGAACTGCAATTCTGAGTGAAATGTAGGAGCATAATTGAGCTGGAATTCAGCCTGTGAGTCCCTGGCTGGAGGTGGAGGCACAAGTCAGGTGTTTCCAAGCCCCTTTGGTCCCACGTGGTCGGAAAGGTAATATCACAACTCACTGGAAAACCTCATTTTTGTTCCAGCATTAAAACACACCGGTGGCACAGGCATCCCAGGGACTGTGTAATTTGAAAAAGACACATTCCAGCAATTACCTTTTCTTTCTTTTTTTTTTTTTTTCTCCTTTGAAATAAAAGCTGATCTTAATGGTTTCAATTATTTTTCATCCAGTTGCTGCCCTAGGATGATGCGGAGCTTTAAGTATAGGCAGGAAATAATTTCCAAGGGGACATTAAATGTATGTTTATGGAGTAAAATATGTATAAATGCAGACCACAAGAAATGGACTGCAAAGCATTTTATGGAGCTAATTCCATCAGGGGAGGGAAGGAGCCCACAAGTTCACTTGCACAGTTTATAAGGTCAGTGCAATCCCTCACTGGGAATTATTTCTTTCTAAATAAGTCTTGCCTGACTATTTTCCTGAAACAAATCCTGCATTTTCCAGGTGGAAAATGATCCTAAAAAAAATCTTCCCTGGATGGAGCTGCTTTCCCTTATCCAGAGACAAAACGTGGCCTYCTGAACATGAAACCACAATCCAGGAGCTCCAAAATTCTCAGTGCTGGAAGAATTCAGGAGCTCTAAGTCTGCCTGGTGATTTTGGGAAAGCCTTTTCCATCTCCAGCCTGCCTCCTTCTGCCAAGCTGGAAGGAAACGTTTCACATAACTCAACCCACACTGTTGTGAGAAGTCAATCCAGGAAGATATTTGAGGGTTTTCCAAAGGCAAGGCAGAATTTTTAAATTTTTTTTTTTTTAATTTGGAAGACATCTCCTGGGACACAAAGATGACTTCCCAGATGGCTTTTGAACCAATCGTGCTTCATGTGCCTCCAGATGATTTTCTCCTGAATTCTGAGGCTTCAGGCACTTGGCTAAAAGGGGCTGTGTTACCTGCAACCCCCAGGTCTGCCTGAGCTCCTGGAGCACCACATCCCACCAGTTCAGGCACCCTGAGGAAACTGGGGA